CAAAAAATTTCATCAAGATATGTTGGCTAGTTCAAGAGATATAGCGTTCTACGTAGGTACAAGTTTTGAAAAAAATCGCTCAAAAATTTGAGGATGCTGTCACAAAAATCTTCATAACTTGAAAAATAATTGAAATTTTTTTATAAAAATTTTATTTTGTCGATGAAATACATTGAGGTACTTACTGTTAAAATTTTAAAAAAATCGGAGATGGTCGGGCGTGGACTTTTTTTTAAATCGTTCAAGTTGACGGAGAATGACCCTGCAGCATATTAAAATTGTCACTGAAATACATACAGGTACCGGTAGACAGGAAAAAAAGCACAATTATTCAGATCTATAAAAGAGGCTCAAAATCTGATGTGAGAAACTACAGACCAATTTCTTTACTAGTGAAATGCCTTACAATGTAATGGAATCAATTGTCAAAAAGTACTTACATGATCATTTTCAAAATAACAATCTTTTTCATAAAAAGCAGTTTGAATCACTTGTGACACAACACAACTTACACAACTTCTATACTTCCTAAATAATGTTACGGAAGCAATGGATTTAAACAAAGAAGTAGATGTTCTATGCAAGGTATTGAAAAAAGTTTTCGACACCATATCTCACAACAAACTGATATTAAAATTGTCAAGTTACAAGGTTAACACAAGCATTATTGGATGGGTCGGAAACTTTTTGACAAATCGAACATTCCGAGTAAAAATATTTCGGTACAAAAAGTTTTGATTTTGCTTTCAAAATCATTCTTGAGATACAAATTTGAATTTGCTTTTTAAAAAACACGTCTCTACCCAACTGATTTTTATTTATCGCAAGAATGACTCTTTTTAATCCCATGAAGTGAAACACAAATTTTCTGCTTGATTTTTGGTATATCATTGAATTTTGTTACTTCAACATAATGATTCAAATTTGAAACTTAATATCATTTACTGTATTTTCAGCTTTGATCAGTTTCTAGTTCTTTATTTTTACCGAAATTGCGGATAAATGCTATATTGCAATTAATTCCAATATCTGCAAAATGAAAACCACCTCTGAGTGTAGGGGTGGGGTTGTCGAAACAGAAGAGAAGATGGAAGAAGATGTGGTAAGCATCGTTTAAACAATCATTTTTGATAACTTGTTTAAATTCATGAATAATTTTTTTAAATATTCAACAGAAATGATGATAAATAAATGTTATAAATTAAATTTGGTTTCCGTGATTGGACTCTTCCTCACTTCCTGAAGAACGATCATGGACCTGAAAGTTGTGGCTTCGTTAAAAATTCTCACCTGGTTGGAATCACGCCTACTGAATTTTACTTCCACGCGATGGGCGGTAGAGAAGGATTGATCGATACGGCTGTCAAAACTGCTGAAACTGGTAAGTGTGTTTGGTCTTCAGTTGAGAAAACATTTTAATTCTTTCACGTCGTTCAATTGGCTTTCGTTATTGCTAGCATTCCTAACGTTCTCTGAATTATTTCAGGTTACATTCAGCGCCGTCTCATCAAGGCCATGGAGAGCGTGATGGTCAAATACGACGGTACAGTGAGAAACTAAGCTGAGGAGCTCATCCAGTTGCGCTACGGAGAGGATGGTTTAGCGGGCGAGTGGGTGGAGTTCCAGAATCTGCCATCTCTCAAACCGTCTGACAAGGCATTTGAGAGAGAATTTAAATTTGACCCAATCAACGAAAAGTGAGTACATTGTATTTATTAACATAATTAATTATTTATACTACTTGTAGAATACAATTTATCGATATTTTCATCTCAAATAATCCATATATTGAAGCGATTGGCTGAATGAATAAACGTATTTAAATAACATCACCACAGAAAACTGAAGCGCTGTATATATGAAGATGTCTTGAGAGATATGCATCGTGATGCAAACTTTTCATTCGAGATCGAACGGGAGTACGATGACCGCATGGCAGTCAGGCAGATATTTCCAAACGGAGAGAGTAGGGTTGTCCTTCCGTGCAATCTTCAACGAATGATTTGGAACGCACAAAAATTTTTCAAAATAAACCATAAGAGGCCATCAGACGTTAATTTTTTGAAAATAATAAAAAGTTAATCGCAAAATATCAATTTTAATGGCATTAGAGCGTGTATGAATTAAAGTTTCGAAATTAAATTTCTATAAATTTCAATTTTTTATTCAAACTTAAACTAATTATCCAAACTTGTAATCATCGCGACCACAGATGTACGCGAACTCAGCAAGAAATTCATGATCGTGAAGGGAGAGGATAGGCTGAGTAAGGCCGCCAATACTAATGCTACTCTGCTCATGAATATATTAATGAGATCTACGCTATGCTCTAAGAAGGTTAGTTTGTCGATCGAATACGTTTTATTTAATGTTATTTATATTTATGCTGTCATTTGTTCACACGATAACAAAAATATTAACCAAAACTATCGAAACTAACTCCAAACAGGTCATTGAAGAATTTCATCTCTCCTCTGAAGCGTTTTATTGGCTCATCGGTGAAATCGAGACGAAGCTCAAGCTCAAGTTGAACCGGGCGAGATGGTGGGTGCACTTGCCGCTCAGTCCCTCGGCGAACCTGCCACTCAGATGACTCTCAACACTTTCCACTACGCGGGAGTGTCCTCGAAAAAAGTAACTCTGGGTGTTCCTAGATTGAAAGAGATTTTAAACGTTTTTAAAAAGCCTAAAACTTTTTCGTTGACTGTTTTCTTGACTGAAAAAGTTGCTACAGGTGCTGTAAAAGCTAAGGTGAAAAGCGTAATTCTTATAGGATTAAAATTAATTTTTTAATAATTTTTTCATAACTTGTTGAATAATTTAATCATTACAAATTTAATACCATTTAACAGGATGCTCTCTGTCAGTTAGAGCATGCCAAAGTTGCATCCGGCTTTGCAATTTTCTACGATCGTGACATTAAGCTATCCACAGGCCATCTGATGGCCATAACTCGTCACGGGATCAACAGGCAAGAGACCTTTGCACTGGCTCGATGCTCTTTCGAAGAAATTGTAAGTTGATTGACTGATTGATTGGCTGGTTGATTAAATGATTGATCGATTGACTGAATGATTGATTCACTGATTGATTGCTTAATTGAATATCAATTTGTAGGATTAATAAATATTGGTTATTTTTTAAATTCTTAGGTGAACATCTTAGTTGATGCAGCAGCCCACACAGAAACTGACCCGTTGAAAGGAGTGTCAGAAGCCGTGATGCTCGGACAACTGGCCAAGATTGGTTAGTATTGGAACTGTGATTTATGGTGTGGTTTGTGCTAATTTATTATCATTCTTATAAAATCATAATCATATTATTAGTATGATTAGTTTAGCATGATAAAGATAGTGTACTTTACGTTGGTTAGGCTAGAGATTTCAGAAAATACTTAAGTAATTAATCAATTGGCTTGTTTTTATATGTAATCTGAATTAAATATCATTATGTGTTTCAGGTACTGGTTGTTTCGACCTGATGTTGGATGATAAACAGTGCGTCAACGGAATGGATATTCCAAGCGAGATTCCATCAGGACACCTAGCAGGTACGTTTTTCATAACTTTCATAATTATTTCTCAATATGATGTATTTTATTGAGAATCTTTTTTTTATAATTTAAAAATATGTACAACTAATAACAAAAATTATAAAAATCCAAATTTAACTGACATTTCAGGCAGAGACATATACGGTCTGACCTCGATGCCTCCCGGGTGCGCGACCCTCATAAGCACAACATAAAAGACCCCACGGAACAACAGAACTCTGCCGCTTCCAACTAAAACTGTTTCTCACCAGGTGCAAGCCTGTCACCTGAATTTCCTGAGGGGTTCCCACCCGCACATAAAGCAAGATTCAATCCATTACAAAGTCCCAGTTTTTCTCCAGCTGCAATGTCTCTTGGATCTCAGACACTAGCCAGCCCCTCTTATCCAAGTCCAGCTAGAACACTTTCACCATCTTAAATGCCAACGTCACCATCATATTCACTAACATCACTATCATATTCATCAAAATCACCATCATATTCAACAAAGTCATGTATCTTAGTTATTTTTAATATTTTAGTTTTATTTTTTAACTGTTTACGATATATTAATATAATTTGGTAGTTTATTCATGCAGCTGAACTTGCAACAGTATTTTAGTCCTTAATTATTATCTTGATTAACTAACTAACCAAACAGATTTCTATATAACATAAATAATAATCATAATAGTCGTCGATATAATATAACTCACCGACCTGGCTTATTTAATTGCTCATTGAAAAAATGAATTCTTCACATATAACATACAATTAAAAAGTATAAATAATTATAAGTGTAAAAAAAACATATTAGACGGAAATCTTAAGATTAGCCAAAGCCAACTTTGCGCTGTTTCTTTAACGGAAATGTGCATTATTAAGTCCTTGCAATTTATGCCGTCCTTGCAAAAAATTAAATTTATTACAACGAAATTTGAAATTATTTTAACTGTTTGATTGTCGATATTTTAACGTTTATCAACACATTATTTTTTTCCAATTACTTTCAATACAAGCTTTCAAACTATTTTTTCACATTTATTCACAACATCGGCTACTTGGCCTGCTTTGTTGTCTATGAACTTTGATAGGTTTCGTTGTAAAAACTCTAATTGATAATTTATTTTTTACTAAAAAATCTTCATTAATGAGTTTGCAATTATAATATCTATGTTATATTATGATAATGTTATAATATTTATTTAATTTGCAATTCAACATAGAATTCTAA